CTGTCAGAGACCTCTCCAAAGTAGTGAAGCGCAATGATGTCAGTGTGGAGAATAAGGTGCGCTTGATTCAGACCATGGACTTTGCAATTACTTGCTATGCATCAGAAAGCTGGACAAGGTCTAGGGATGATAGGAGGAGAACTGATGCCTTTGAGCTGTGGTGCTGGAGAAGAGTGCTGAATATACCATGGATGGCTAAGAGAACAAACAGGTTTGTCTAGAGATGGTGAAACCAAGCTGCTCCTTGGAGTCAAGGATTCTGAAACTGTTTGACATACTTTGGACATATTGCAAAGAAGGACCGACCAGTCCTTGGAGAGGGACATCTTGGTTTGGAGAATGATGGGACAGTGCAGGAGAGGAAGATCCTTGATGAGATACATTGATAAATTGACTGGGATATTGTCAGAGACAAAAAGACTGGCACAGGATAAAGCCGGGTATGGCTATTGTACACAGGGTTGCTATGAGTCGCAAGTGAATTAACGGCACATAACAACAATAGGCCAGATATAGTGCTCAGGAAAGAATTTTTTTTTTTGAGGGCGAGGGAGAGGGAACAAATATGTTAGAATCACCTTACTACTAAATGAGAATTTTTTTTTTTAAATGAGAATTTTTTGAGGGGGAGGGGAAGGGAACAAATATGTTAGAATCACCTTACTACTAAATGAGAATAATGTTGTTGCATGCCATCAAGTCATAACTCATACCTATCTCTCCAGGAGGGTTTTAGAAGCTGTAAATAGCTTGGGAAGAGACTGCCCATTTTTCTCCTGAAAAGCAGCAGGTAGATTTGAACCTCATGCCTTCAGGTTATCTGCGCAACTCCTTACCACTTGGCCACCAGAGTTCTCTAAATGAAATTAACAGTCTATTGGTTAAAGAATAGACTCTTAGAGGAAAAACTGCTAAATTAGCACAACAGTGTTCACAAAGTTTATGTAACTTCAACTTAGTTTGATAAGAATTGTCTGAGGACCTAAAAGCTCATAAGTGGTCATCTGCAACTATTGGTCTCTACTCAAGAGTAAAAGGGGAAAAAAGAAACCAAAAACTGAGATAAAATTAGTCTAAAGGACTAATAAAAAAGCTATAACAACCACAATCTTATCTACCTAGAGACCAAAAGAACTAGACAGTGCTCAATCATCATTGTAATCAAGGCCATAATGGATGGACTGGGTAAAATGAGAGAAAAACGTCAAAATTATATAAAAAGTCAAGATTAAACCAATCGAAGCTAAAATACCCCCAAAGAATACTTTCCTGAGATACTCTTAAAGCTTGAACTAGCTTCCAATATGACTTATTGGCTAAAGAATGTATTATCTCATAAAATGATGAATATGCATTCATGAGTACATACTTCTTTAAGAATCACACAAATGGAACCAAACAATCAAATATTAATATAAACAAAGATGAGAGGATAAGGGGATAGGGAAACTACTGGAAATTAAAAAAGAATGAAATGAGAACATTCATTTATACACTGTTCAGACTATAATCAATGTTGCTGAATAATCTGTGTAGAAAGTGGTGAACAAGAACCTAATCTGTTGTGTAAAGCATTACTAGAAAACAATAAAATATATATTTTTAATATAAAAAAAGTAGAAATTAATGATTGCTCCAATTGGCTTGGAGAAATTAAAAGATTTCCAGTGAAGGAAAATATTGCTTTGTATGCTTTCAATAGGGAGTTCTGGTGGCTTAATGGTAAGAAGCTGAGCTTCAATCCCAAAGGCATGTGGTTCAAGTCCACCAACTGTTCCATTAAAGACAGATGGGCAATTTCCTCTCATGTGATTAATATCCTCTGAAAACCGACTAGCAGCTCAGCAATGAATCGGTTCCAACCTCACAGAACACAACAACAACATACTTTAAATAAGCTGATTTTCTTTAAGATTATTTTTTGTGGATGTAAATATTAATAGGGGGAAGAGGGATGTTAGTTTATAGCTGATGATCATAGTCATAAAGGTATAAGATGAAAAAAAGGTATAAGATGAAAAACCATTACTTCAACACAAATTGTCTTCCGGAATAGCTTGCCTCAGGAAACTCTACAGAGAAACAATAAAAGTTAGAAGTGTTCAGGACTTTCATTCATAGGGTCACTATGAGTCATCTATGATTTGACGGCACTTAACAACAACACACAACTGCAAGGAGGAAAAATCTCACATAATATATCTAATTATCAAACTATTCAAACATGTTAATTATTTTAAAAAACTACTATATTTCTCCTCCTCAACTTCACCACAATATAAGTAGAAGGTGATGTGTATGGATGCATGAATGTATGCATATTTATAAGGTTTATGTTTATTTTCTTTCAAAAACCAAATGAAGTTAAATTTCCTAAAATTCACCTATTAGTTTGAATGGTCAGAATAATCTCATTTCTTTGATAACTTTAGATTTAAAAATTACATGTTCAACTACATTAAACTGTAAGCAATGTCTTTGTTGTTGTTCTTGTGTACCATCAAACTGTTTCCAGTTGGCACAGGTAAGATAACCCCTCCTTCTCCCCCGGAGCATCTGGTGCATTCGAACTACACGGCTTGGGGACTGTAGAGCAGCTTCTTGCCACTAGACCACCAGAGCCCCAACAATGTGTTTTTAAAATTAAATTCTATAATGACAATAAGTTATAAGACCTCAATATACTAGCTTAAACTGTAATCAAAACTTTCAGCTAATTTTAAAGCATTAGAGTCAAATATTAACCAATAAGCATGAACTCAATCAAGTGTTCTGGGATTCCCATTCTTCTCAGTGTTAGCCACAGTTTGTTGTGACCCACACAAATGTCTTTGCATGGTCAATGAAACACAGACAGACATTCCTTTGGTACTCTCTGCTTTCAGTTAAGATTCATTGGCGAGCTCTGGTGGCCTAGTGGCAAGAAGCTGCACTGCAATCCCAGAGGTGTGTGGTTCAAATCCACCCGATGCTTTGCTGGAGGAAGAACAATCTCCTCATGTGCCAGTCAAATCTGATTTGACGGTCACACATGCACAAATAATAAAAATAAATAAAATTTTAAAAAAAAAGATTCATCTAACACTGGCTATGATGTCCAACTAGATTACACATCTGGCAATTCTCTGTTGATGTACTGTTCCAGTCATATTTGGATAATCTTCAGTAGGATCTTGCTTGCACATGAGATTAGTGATACTGTTCAAAAACTTCCACACTCTGTCAGATCACCTTTTTTTTGGAATGGGAATAAATACGGATCTCTTCCAGTTAGTACTTTTTGTAAACACAACAGAGGGGTATTCATTCTTTGTGCACTTTATAATTTATTTTAGATATCCCCAGCATCTCATTGTTTTTAACATACAGGATGTACCAAGTATTGTTGATTGAAGGGGTAGAAGCTCTAACAAAAAAGTAAGACTCGAAAGACTGATACTTACCTTATTCGACTATTAAAACTGATAAAAAAATTCTAGAAAGCACCTAGCAAATACATGGGACATCATGTTGTTCTTGGTAATCAAACTAGAACCAACCCTTAATTGATGTCCCAGGAGGTTTTCAGAGGCTATAAGTCACATGGTAGGAGGGTAACCATCTTTCTCCTGCAGAGCAGCTGGTGGATTCAAACTGTCTACTTTGAGTTAACATCCCAATTCCTTACCCATTAAGCCACCAGAGCTCCCTACATGGAACACTTTGTTATGTTCCATAGAGTCGGAACTGAATCATAGCTGACCCTGCAGTGGGTTTTTAGAGGCTGTACATCACATGGGAGAAGACTAATCATCTTTCATTGAGTAACTGGTAGATTTAAATCGTGTACCTTTGGGATGTCAGTGCAAGTCCTTACCACTAAACCACCAGAACTCTGTAAGTACTACCTATATTTTAGTATTTTAGCCCTCTCTCCCTCTCTTCTTATTCCTTGGCCTCCTCTGAACACAGTAAGCCCTGTATCAGAGAGCTAGACAATGACTAATCATGACAGAAAAAGAATCTATGCCTTTGAGCTGTGGTGCCAGACAAGAGTCTTGAACATACCATGGCCTGCCAAAAAAGCAAATACATCTGTCTTGGGAAAGGGTGAAACTTTGGAGGCTAGGATTTTGAGGCTCCATCTCACATACTTTCCTAGCACGCGGCTAGGAAGGTCTAATCCTTAGAGAAGGACATCATGATTAGAATGGTGGGGGGACAGCACAAGAGGGAAAAAAAAAATAAAAGAAATAAATGAATGAATGAATGAATGAATGAATAGATAGATAAATGAATGAATAAATAAATAAAAACATAAAAACAACCCAGATAAGATGGATTGATACAGTAACTGGAACAATGTATGTCAGAGAGTCTCATCGACTGGCTCACGACAGGGAAGGCTTCAGAGCTGTTGTACATGGGGTTGCTATGAGTGACAGGTGACTCAACAGCACATAACAACAAAAGCAGCACTATCATCTTAGGGTAAATATTTAGATAAATTTCTAATTATTGAAATAAAATTAATCTTCTGTAAAAGGAAGCAACTCTTATGATAATATTGTTGTATACCATCAAGTTGTAACTGACCCATAGCTGACCCTTTCGTTGGGTTTCAGGGGCAGTGAATAGAAGGAGACTGTCTTTACCACTGGAGCAGGTGGTGAATTAAAACCACACACCTTTGCATAGGCAGCACAATTCTTTACCACCAAGCCACCAGAACTTAAATTTAATACTCATAATCCCCCATGACATATACTATTTCTCATTTTAACATATGCAACAATAATAAGCTCAAAGTACTACTTGCCGGGGGAGAAGAAGGTCTAGCCAGTGAATATCTGAGCCTGGATTTAATATCAAGTCTATCAGACTGCACAGTAATTTACACGAATTGTATTTTTCTGTGAAAGGTTAAATAACAGACTACTACTTATATTAATAAAATAAATAACATAAACAGTTACATAGTGTTACAAAGAAAAAGAAATGATATGCATAAAAGATATTACCCAGGATGATCAAGATTTTTCTTCTCAATCAAGTCTGCCTTGTCACATTCTAATGATTCATTCTGGGAACTAGAGATGTCATCATGGTCAATAGTATCTACAGAATTTTCAGCATTTAAAATCTTCTGTGCTCTTGAGTTGTGCTGAGTAGCTGTCTTCTGCCTATTAACCTGAGTAGTTTTCTCCCCAGCCTTCTTAGACAGGCAATTTGGTTTTTGAGCAGGTTTTACTCTACTGTTCCGATTGACTGAAAACTCATTATTTATAAAAGAATTGCTATTAACAGGACCTAGAAGAATGAACAGAACCTAAATTAGCATTAACATCTGTCCAGATTATTCAAGTCATCAGATTATCAATCATATCTACATTTACACATAAATGCATATACAGACTGATCTCACAGGTTGAATTTGTACTCCAATTAAGTTCTCAAAACTATACAGTTCTTCAATTTATAAAAAGATAACAAATTCATAAATTAATTGTGTTGTGGTTTTTTATTCTAACACTGGAGTTCTTTTTTACTTCAAAAACAGTATTTTATTAGGTATCTTTACATAGTCTCAAAGCTGTAAGTATCATCTACTTACTGATAAATCCTTAATTATACATCCTCAAAAAAAAAATCCCTTCACTTTAGATTTATTCATCACACCATATATTTAACATATCTACTTTGTTATCAAAGACATTTCAAAATCAAAACTATCAAAACCTGAAATCTTCATGTCCTTGTCTAATCACTTCTCTCAGAGCTTTCTTCCTTTCAGTAATTAGTAGTTCTACACCACTCTTTGCAGAGATAAAAAAAGAAAAGTCATCCGACATTCCTACCTCTCTCTTTTATGCCAATTAGTCAGTATTAATTTTTACTACAAAATATATTCAGAATCTAACCATTTCTCATTGTTAACAGTATTACTTGGCCTAAGTTACTGACATTTCCCCCTCCCCAACTGCCTTCTAGTTAGTCTTCATATTTCCAATTTCCTTCTCACAGAAGAAGGAGATAGTCTTTTCAAATATGAGTGAAAAATGTCAATCTTAATATCAAAGTTTAACATCTTTTCAGTACTTTGCCAATACACTTCATCCAAACTGTTTATCACTGCTTGGCTCTCTAATTTCATCAACTTTGGTTTTTTCTGTTTTACAACCTTTACAAAGAACTGTCCCTTTAGCATAGAATGTTCCACTTCCTTACTGTATTTACATATGTGCTTTGGAAGATAATAGTGTTGTCATTTTTACAAAAACATCCACTTTATCTTTCCATCCACTTTCATGTCCTTACCTTCTTCATAATTTTACTTGCTTTATTTTTATTATCTGTCATTATGTGGCATTATAAATCTATGTATTATTTTATTTCTGCACTAAAATGAAAGCTTCGTAATAGCAAAGATTTTGCTTTTTGAAAGATTGTACTACCATAGTTAGAAAATAAATATGACAAAGCCTTAATGAATATATTTACAATTAGATGACTTATTTTTATTAATGACTCATACTTCTCCTTAGAGAGTAACTTCCTGGGAGCAACTAACGATTATAATTTAAATTAAAACTGCTTACTATGTACTGATGATACCTCCCACCAATTAGATGGCCGCCTGGAAATTCTCTGACTTTTTGTTAAAATCACAGGCACTTCTTCAGGTACCACTTCCTTCTTGGGACCATTTGAGGATGGCTTCTTTTTTATTTTTTCCTTAGATTTTTTCTGAGTTCTTTTTTCCAATTTTCCTAAACAAAGAATACAACAAAAACAATTCACAATCTACAAAGAAAAGAGTATTCAGGAAATTACAAAAGATTTTTTTAAAAGCAGACAAATTAAAAAAAAATTATAGAAATACTTTACATTTACCATATAAGCTTTCTATCTGTGTTTCATTGACTAAGCAAAGGCGTTTGACTGTGTGGATCATAACAAACTATGGCTGACTATGAGAAGAATGGGAACCCCCGAACACTTGATCGTTCTAATGTAAAACCTATACTTGGACCAAGAGACAGTCGTCAGAACAGTGCAAGGAAATACTGCATGGTTCAAAATTGGGAAAGGCGTATGCCAGGGATGTGTCCTGTCTCCATACCTTTTCAACCTGTATGCAAAACAGATTATCCCGGAGGCTAGGCTCTATAAGAAGAAATGTGGGGTCAGGATAGGTGGAAGATTTTTCAGCCTGCGTTATGCAGATGACACAACCCTGCTTGCCGAAACTGAGGACGATCAGAAGCGGTTGCTGAAGAGGGTCAAGGAATGCAGCCTTCAATACGGATTGAGGCTCAAAGTCAGGAAGACAAAGGTTCTCACAACTGGACCAATTGGCAGCATCAGGATGGATGGTGAAGAGATTGAGATTGTTCACAGTTTTAGTTCGCTCGGCTCCACAGTCAACACTCTTGGCACCAGCAGCCAGGAAATTAAAAGGCGTACTGCCATGGGAAAGTCGGCTGTTAGGGACCTCTCCAAAGTACTGAAGAGTAATGGTGTTTCTCTGGATATATATATATATCCAGATAGCAAAGGAAAAACTAAGAACGATGTGAAAAGATTAATTGTTAAATCAAAATGTATTGCCATTGAGATGGAGTCAAGTCATATGTGACCCTTGTTTGGTTTTTCAAAGTAGTAAATCATGTAGAAGGAGACTGTCCACTTTTCTCCTGTAGAGATGCTAGTGGATTCGAACCAACAGAGAGGCTTCATCTTTGCATTACCAGCACTGCTTCCTACTTTCAACATGGATTAAACCTCAATATCAAGAAAACAAAAGTCCTCACAAGTGGACCAAGAGACAATATCATGATTGATGAAAAAAAGATTGAAGTGTTCAATGATTGCATTTTACTTGGATCTACAATCAACATCCATGGAAACAGCAGAAATCAAAAGATGTGCTGCATTGAAAAAATTGGCTTAAAAAATCTTTGTAGACCACTAAAGAGGAAGGATGTCAATTTAAAGGATGTCAATACCTGACTTACTCATGGAATTTTTCAATTGCAACATATGCTTGTGAAAGTTGGACAATGAATAAGATAGATCAAAGAAGAATTGATGCCTTTGAACTGTGTTTGTGAGGAACTGAATATACATCATAGATTATCAGAGGACAAATCTGTTGTGCGGGAAGTACAACTGGGGAGTTCATTAGAAGCAAAAAGGTGAAATTTCATTTTACATATTTGAGGCATATTGTCTCATCTTGGAAACATTGTACTTGGAAAGGCAGAGGGTCAGTGAGAGGAAGACCCTCAATGAGATGGATTAAAAAAGTAACTGCAACAATGAGCATGAGCATAGCAGAAATTACCATGCAGAATAGGGTAAAGTTTCAATGTGCTGTTTTATAAGGTTGCTGAGTGTTGGTCAACTTGATGGTTGCAAGCAACAGACCAAAGGTAGAAAAAAAATTTCTTGACCATCAAGTAAATGAAGAAACAAAAACAGATTCTAGAGGGTTGAAAGAGGGGGAGGAGAGGTTCAAAAAGGGGGAGGATTAAATCTTATCAAGTAGGAAACATACACAGAATTATGAAGAAACATGAAAAACCAACGGTGCAGATATTCTACTCAATTATAAAGTATTAAAGAAGTAAAAGACAGACAAGCTAGAAACTGAGAAACTTAGACCTTTCATTAAGAAGATGAATTTGGAAAAAATAAAATAAAAAAAAAGAAGATGAATTTGTAGAAATAATTTGCATAGAAATATCTAATGCCAAGATAGAGTTTCTCCACAGTGTGAAAATAAAGGAAGCACAAAGTAAAAATAGTTCGCATGGGGTATGTGGAAGGAATCACCAACATGTATAGGTAATATAAATAAAATAGACACAGAAAGATGTAAAAAAAATTAGGAGAACCTGAATATTACACTATCAGTATTTAAAGATACTTAATTAAGATGAAAACTAAATTTTAGTCATCTGAGCTATCTAAAGCATGTAACATTGTGTTTTGACTAAAACCCAAAACTTACAGCCACTGAGTAAATTATAGCTGATAGCAACCCTGTAGGAAAGGGTGCACCAATTGTCTACTTGGTTTCCAAAGTAATAAATCTTTATAGAGGCAATCTGCCTCATCTTCCTCCATGGAGCAGCCAGTTCTAACTTTTGGTTGTTGTTGTTGATTGCCATTGAGTCAAGCAAGATTCATAGTGAACCTATGAACAAAGGACCTGAAGCCTTTCTATAACTATCATTTCTCAAAGTTCATAGAGTTTCCAGAGGCATGTTGTTTAGGAAGTGGATGCCACTCCTGCTTCCAGTATAGTAAATACAATCAATGAAACTAAATTGTACATGTAAAACATGTTGAAATAGAAAATGTAATTCATGCTGTGGCTATGTGCTGTTGACCACTCATAGTGATCCTATGTATAACAGCCCTAAACACTGTGCCAATCTCACTGTCTCCAACACACCTCCTCTCATTACCTCAGTCACTGAATCGATCCATCTCAGCGAGAGTCTTCCTCTCCTACACTGTCCCTCCACCCTCCCAAACATGCCGTCCCTCTCCCGGGGCTGGTCCCTTCTTGCAACATGCCCAAAGTATGTCAGGTAAAGCTTCAGAATCCTTGCCTCCAAGAAGCAACTTGGTTTCACCAGGTGTATTATTTAATCATTGCACCCTAAAGCTCCTTTAGTTTGCCATATTGTTTGCTCAACAAAGAGGCATGACTGAAGTTAGTATTACACTGAGCAATGAAATTGGCAAAAACACTATCCAACTAGCCTGTTTTTGAGAGTATAGACTATTGGTACCCAAAAAACTGTCTCAAAATCAGCAACATCAAGATCATCTGAGATAAGATTTAGAAATATCTAGAGCCACAGGCCCCACCACAGACCTGCTATATCAGAAACTTCATTTACAGAATCTAAAAGAGGAATTCAAATGCATATACAAATTTACAAAGAACTGTTCTGGGCAGTTTAATCAATCTTCTGGTTAAATTAAGGGACAGAAAGATATCAGCAATATTACACTCTGATTCTATTTTGAGAAGAAGTTATAAGATTTGAAGAAAGTTTAATTTTGGATAAAAAGGCTTAATGTATATTTATAAAAGAAGGCAAAATGAAGAGCATTAACTATGATGATCCTAAACAAATCACAGAAAGTCAATGAAAATGGAAAAAAGGGACATTTTACTCATATTCTGCTTAATTAGTATAATCCACTAATCTGGAGGTGATGAAAAACAGAGACATAAAAATAATCCACTATGAACAAAAGCAAGCACTCGACAGGGAAGAAGTTTTTTTAAGGATGAAGAAGATGAAAAAGAATTAACTTTCAAAACACTATTGCAAGGACAGAAAGATTTTTAGCATGGCGATTGTTGTTGCTGTTGTTGTGTACCATAAAGTCAGAACCAACCGATAGCTGACCCTCCAGCGGGTTTTCAGAGGCAGTTAATCATAAGAGATTGTCCATCCTTCTCCCAAGAAGCAGCTGGTGGCCTTGAACTGAGTGCTTTCGGGATTGCAATACAGCTTCTTGCCACTAGGGCACCAAAGCTCCCTTCTGGCATGGTTACCATTGAAAAGTAGTTTAAGGAATCCTTTGAGCAATGCACGAATCCTCAGCAATGAGCACCCCTGTCCCTGTTTCTATATTTCTATTTTCATTTTCCCTTTCTTACACTTTACAAAAAAAACATCCTTGGAGTTACTGTAACAAATGAGATGTTGTAAACAGAAGATTATTATTTTACTCTTCCTCAAATTCATGAATTAACTTTAAAAAAACCAAAACAAAACCTAACATCAACAATGATTTACAAGAAAGAGTATGAAATAATAATGCCACCAAAGAATTATTTGACCACTGATACAAAAAACCCACTTTATTTCTGGTCAAAAACAGGTAAATTAGGAACATAATTTCAAACACCAGTTCCAGCTCAGGGAATTATGAGAAACTGAATTACAGAGAATTGATAAAATTTATAAACAAAAAACATATAAAAGAAATAGCTGCTTTGTAAACAGTTGATAATTCAAATACAGGACACATTAAGTCAAATTTGAGCAACAGTTAAAAAGAGGAGACTTTAGACATCAAACTTTGAACACTGAGATTTTCGCACACTTATCTGTAATATAATTCTGAAAGCAAACATTTTATAAGCAGCAAAATTATTCACAAAAAAATAGTCAATTACATAGTTGACCAATTCAGCAAAGTAGCAGGATACAAGACCAACATACAAAAAATCAGTTGGATTTCTCTACAGTGACAGAGAGAATACAGAGCTGTAGCTAAGAAAAGCAATACCCTTCACAATAGCTAATCACAAGATCGAATATTTGGGAGTAAATATAACTAGAAGCACAAAAGATCTATTCAAAGAAAATTACAAAACATTATTACAAGAAACAAAAAAAAGCCTAAGAAGT